GCTTCTCCAGAATGCTTGTGTTATTTTAGCTAGCTACCAACCATATGCACCCAATTAAGTTGTATTGGATTTCTCTTAGTGATTCTGATGATTAATGCTTTTGCTACAATGCATTGTTCTCAGGTTTCTATTGCACATGTAGATGATATAAATATGGCCTAGTACTACAATTGAACCATCAGGCCTACTAATGTTTATGTTTGCCCTTGAGTATAGGTTACATTGACTGAATCATGCAAATTTTGTGCCTTCTTTCTTGTTTTTCATATCTCCTGTTGTGATGCACTCTTGCATTTAACCAAGTCAATTTGATGTTGTAATTTTGGGGATTTTGTGGTAACCAATGAAGAATATTCATTGACAAAATTATTTGCTAAAAAACACAAATAACAACCTTCTGTAATTAATATGTGTAGGAGACACCCTAAAAAAATTACAGTATGATGAAATAGAGATCAAGAAAAAAAAAGACCCAGATACAATTTTATCACCTATAAATTGAACCCTTGGTACATAAACTGCGACTAGAAAACAGGTAATGACCAAGCAAATCAACGCATAGAGTTCATTCAGCATTCTGATTTACTGCAACATCATTTGTAGGTTCCCATACCAACACCAGCTTCTCCTCCATAAGGCTGGAAGCTGTTCCCCCTGGCCTTGGAATAGGAATCATAGTAGAACTGAGAGACTATAGCAGTGAAGAAGATAAAAGCTGCCCCAGCTCCGAAAACTCCCTTCCTCAAGGTCTGGCAGGAAGGAGGATCTTCACCACCAAAAATAGTCCTGTATTTTGTGTGGTATGCATTTCTCACTGATCCAGCAAACAAGCATATCTCCGCGATCAAGAAAAACAACCTGATTTCCATACCCAAAGAAGCAAAGACACAAATTTCACATGTTTGCAACAACTGTTACTAAGCAAAGGTAAAAATTATCAAAGGTGAAATTTTTTATGCCATACCAGCAGACAATGAAGAGGATTACTGCACAAGCCCTTGAACCGCTGGGGTTTAATGCCTTTCCACAACAGAAGCATCGGCTAGCTACCATTATAAGGACTTGGCTAGCCATGAGAAAGAGAAATGCACCAACACCATAGCCTGTTGAAATATCAGAGTCATAGACACAGTAGTTGTAGTTCATCTCTGAATCTGTAACAACTTTTGCCTGTATGAAGAAAATTGTACATTTCAAATTGAGCTAAAACGGGCCCTCTCTTGAATTTAATAATGAAAATGCAACCATGTTCTAAAACGACTAATAGATCTTTATTGGCTGAGCGGAAACTTGAGGGATTAGTTTATTTGGCACACCAACTCAGCTCTTATTTTAATATATCTATTACAGGTATGTAACTACAGATAATTCAATTCAAGTGCTAGTTGCTGTATTCACACAAACATAGCTGAATTTTGCATTTTGGCTCCAAATTAGAGAACGAATTTGTTAGCAGATTATTCTCCAGATCTAAGAAAAAACAACCCTATCTGCATGGATCTGGAAACTATACTGTAGATACAACAAACAAAAATGATTTTCCAGTACAATTGATTGCTTTAAAAAAAAAAAAAAAAAAAAAAAAAAAAAAAGAGGGCCCTAATGCTAATACCTATTACCTAAAGTCGGTTTGTGTCCTTTGACCATCTCGGGCAATTGCAAGAATCTTCCTAAACCAAACACGCCCTA